GCTGTAAGCTGTAATTGCTTCATTACGATGAGTTATGTATTAACAAAGTGATCGGATCAAAGAGTGATATTTATGGAAAGGTTTCGTGGAGGCGAAATAAAAGGTTTTCAGGTGGAGGAAACTATTAGACTGAGCTTAGAATTCAATATGAAGAAAGAAATAGATATGTTAATAAGTGCATTTATTGTAGGTATAATAAATAGATGCAAATCAATGACTCCTTCTTCCCAGCAGGGTATCCAATCCACCGACTTGTGGCAAGCGACTCTTCCTCTGATTTGCCTCGTTGTTCGACAAAAAGTTAAAACGGTAAACTGCACTTTTGCACTAACTGTTCTCGGAGGCTCGTTGACAACCTGGCAACAGCGATGCGGCCAACGGGCGACATGGCAGAAATAATTAGCTGCTAATTGCGTTTTATGAGACGCCCTGACAGAGAAATGATGCGGCACATTCAAGCTGCAGGTTGCAGCCCGCTGGCTTAATGGCCGCAAAAAGTTAATACCGCCGATTTGTCATCCGACCGACTTGCGGCGATGCGGCAGATTAGCATGTACATATAGTTCTCGTAAGAGCGGTTAAATTGTCAAGCCTTCTACGCCTTCTGCGCCATCTAAGCCCCATCCAAACAATGATAATTCGGTCCCCTTATCGCGGTTACTGGATCGCTGCAAACCCGCTTGGGGCAAGTTCAAGAGCTAACGAGGCAGGAATGCAAAGAGTGTTAATGCAGGCGGAATCTTGCCACTCTGCTGCGACGCAACTACGTTGCAAGTTGCCAGTTGCAAGTTGCTGCTGGCTGGTGGCTGGCGGCTGGTTGCAACCTGCTGCTGTGGTCGCTGGCTGTCCAGTGGCATGCAGGCAATTTAAATGCAAAAAGTGAAGCTGTCAATAAAAATTACGCGACTGCCTCTCCGCTGCACTCAATTGCGCTGCCCCCTCGTCCCCCTGAGCTATTAATTTATTGCCTTGCGTGTCTGTGTGAGTGCGTTAAATGTTTTATTAATTAGTTGCCACGGGCGGGGAATTCCAGGCGGTGCTGCGGCGGAGGAATTTCCCGGGCGTAAGTGTGTGTGTCTTGATCTGTCAGTCAAGTGTCAACTTTTGGCTAAACCAATCCCAATCTCGAAAATCCCTTCAGAGCAACGCACTTGTTTTGACGCACCACTCAGGTATCTATATTTGATCCGCAGCGAATCGCTTTGATGTGGGCGCAGACAAGTCATGGGGGCCACGAAACCAAACCGATTTCAATTTCAGTCGCTTTGACAGCGGCTTAAGCGGCTTGAGAAACGAGCCAGCAAAATGTCGAAGGGGGTGACCCCCTGCCACTCACTACCTTTCCCAAGACACAATTAATATGCGACGCAGTTCTGCCGGCCGTAAATGCGTATAAACATGGCCTAAGCACCGCACCCCGCACCCCGCCCACCGACCGACCGCCCCCCACTTTGGGGCAATTAGCATGGCTAACATGAGCGGAGACGCTTAATGGCCTTGCTTTATTTTCACATTACCGAGGAGCTGTGCAGAAACAAAACGCAAAACACAAACTCGGAACAAAAATGACGAAAACAATCATATTTTATCGCCGTGCATAAATAAATCACGAGAGCCGAGCGCTGTTGTTGTCGCTGTTGTCTCGCACTTTCTGGCGCCGTCTAAAAAGCCAAGTTGAAACGCCTCACCTCGCGGAGCAGAGCCAGTTGGCCAATTGTCTGGGCCAAGTCATGCAAGCTGCCGCCGCCATCAGCGTCGCTTTGGCTGCACTTTGCTGTTGCAATTAAGTTGCATCTGCAACACGGCCAGCGCGGCAGCCACGCCCCCGAAAGCACGGCGCATTTGTCAGGGGCGGAGGCATTTGCAATTCGCAGGCGAGTGCCCCTAATGGCTTTGTTAATTAAAACCGAAATCAATATAAATGGCCGCGGGAGATGGCAAGTGGTTGCACTCGAACTTGATGAAGATAAAACATGGGAAAGCGCAAATAAAAGTATCGAGTCAAGATTTGTCTTATCTAATTAAAAACTTCATAACTCGGACAAGTAGTTCACAACTACTATTCGAAAACTATTTGCAGCCAATTCATATGCGAAACCAAGGCAATAAAATAACAGCTCTACTAAAATAAATACAATAACAACAAAATACTATGGGGATACAAATCTGGAGATGGTTTAACTTCTTTTTTACAAGGGAAATAATTTAGGATAGGGAGAGTTTTGCTGGAGAAAAATTCAAATGTTGCACTATAGAGTATTTTTAAAAATTTAAACCTAAGTTCCATATAAAGGAATTGTTGCCATCCCTGAAACCCGATTTGCCTGCAACAAACTGCTTCCTGCGCAGCCCATAAAAATTGAGTATGACCGCGGAGACACAAGGATGGATGGCTGTAAAGCATCTTTCCCAAGTAAATTCTCATCCGTCAGATTTGTTTTTTGCTCATTTCGACAGCCGAACAAGTCGTAAACGCGACTCCACCCCAACCCGTCGCCCGATGTGGCAAAGTGGGGACACTGGCTGTGACGAGGATCCCGGTTAAGCTGCCCAGATTTATGCGGCACTCGATGGCTGTTAAGATTGAATTGAATGCTTAGACACGATCCGAACACAAGTTAATTGCCTGCGCAGAATGTGAGCAAACCAGAAGCCATTCAGCTGGACGGAGTTGGAGAAATTATTGCACTGCAATTTTTTAATATCTTCATTAAGCGCTCTGGGGCTTAGGCAATTAAAAGGCCAGACGAAACCAGATTCGGAATCCGGGGTTTTGCATAGATCTGGAAACAAATGCGAGTGCGGTGGGACTCGCATCGATGTCAGACGTTGGGCTTCTGGGCGAGAATCGGGATTTGAGAAGTGAGAATCGAGAATGGAAAACTGAGAATCGAGAAGCCAGAATGGAGAATCGGGAATGGGGAATGAAGAATCGCGTGTGGCTACCGGATTGCAGACGGATCGGGTTGAAGCTGTGTCAGAGGCACATCAAAACGGCGTCTGTTATTATTATTAATTATGCTTTGATTGCCTTCTGGCTGGAACCGCTTGAAATCGCTGGCGGTTCCTGTTAGCAGGCCGTTTGGCAATGCAGCAGCTCCCGAGCGAAGTGCTCTCTAATTTGAGGTTGCCAAAGCTGATCATCGTCGTCGCCATCGCCATCGCCGTCGCCATGATGAGCTGGGCCGGCAGCTAATTGAGTTGTGGGCTCTTGCCCCACTCCGTTTCACAAGCGCAGAGTTCGTTGCCTAAGTCTTTTGTTTTCTCCGCAGCCCTGCATACTAAATCAAAGCCCCAAATGTCCATGGAAATATATGCCAATATTGTTTTCCACCCCGCCCCGCCCCCCAGAACGAAAAGGAGGAAATGTCATGCGGCCGAGGGAAAACAATCGCCGGCCATATTTCATAAGCTGCGTGGCTGCCATCCGCAAAACACAATAACTTAGTCTTAGGGCCCTAGCCCGATATTTGCATGGCATTATGCAAAATCATGACATGAAAGCGGAGCTCGCCGGAGCAGAGCGCTGCAATTGCGCCAGCTTTCGGCTCGCCTTTCCATCCTCCCCAGCTCTCTCTTACTATATCTGCAACCGATCTGCCGATCCGCCGACCCGCCGACCCGCCGATCTGCCGCTCTGTCGATCCGCCCAAAGAGCCGCACAAAGGCCCCTGGTAAATCACACTTTGGCAGTTGTCGTTTCTGCGCCGCCGGCCAAGAGGCACCGCGTCGTATGCGTAACCCGAGAATGGCCGCGTAAGTGGAGACCTCGCTCCCGTCGCCGATCTGAGTGATGCGTACGACCAGGGGAGCCAGGCAGCCAGGCAGCCAAGCAGCCAAGGAGCAAGGGGAGCGGAGTGGGAGGGGATCGCCGCACCAGAGTGCAACGCAGCGCATCGAAACCAGACAGGCGAAAAGATGCACACTGGGGCAAAGTAGTTGCGAAAAGAAAACAATGTTGCAAGATGGGGAAGATTTTATAATCATGTTTTTTAACAAAAATAAATTTGAGATAAATCCTTTCGGGTTCTTCAGTTAGATGGTTTCACCCTTGACTAGTGTTAATCAATAATATGGAGATTATTAATGACTGTAGATGGTTTTTAAAATGTCAAGAAATCCAATTTTTTGATTTTAAGGTATCACAGTATAGCAAATGTTATAAAGATTCTGTGACCTCGCCAAATGATTGAACTTCACCGTATAAGGAATCAGTCTTATTATCACAATTAAAGAATTTAAAATACAAAAAAGTTTGGTTACAATAAGTTACAATAAGATTATCATATGATCGGTATTTTAAAGGCTTCCAAGTTGACATTCAAAAAAATATAATTTTTCCCTTAGTAACTCAGTGGCAAAGATAAATGAAACTTAAAGTCACACAAACATATAAAACCACAAAACAAAAATGGTTAGGATCTGTCATTCAAAATATCACTTCCATGTGAGTTTTGTATGTAATATATTGAATTTTAAAATCAATACAATGTGATATACTATTTGAGGTAAGCAACAATTTCTCAATCTATTTCTCAATCAGATTCTTTGTTAACGAGAGCTAACATTGGTGATTTGATCGAATGACTCCAAAGTAGTAAAACATGCCCACTTTCTTCGCTCTGAAGCTCACCACTGTTCCCGGGTTTCAGTTTCAGGCTGAAAAGACAAGAACAAGTTGCCGAGTGGCTGACGTTGCGCAGTTTGTTGCGTGTATTGTGCGGCTCGTCTCGGTCGCAGAACACGCAACGTGTGTTCATTGACTCCTGGCTGGGCCACGTCTTGCGCAACAACTTGCTGCCGCAGCTCCTCCAGAGCTCCCATCTCCCATCTCCCGACTCCCGACTCCCGGTAATCAATCACTGCGCCAACAGAACTTATGCATTTAAATTGTCAGCAGAAAGGGGCAGCAGCAGCAGCAGAAGCAGAAGCAGAAGCTTCTGGCTGCCAAGGGCCGCCAAATTGCATCTGACAAATGGGCTGGCTGGAAGGTTACTCACTCATTTGCCTCCTGCTGGGCGGCTCCTGTGGCCGCCGCTTCCGGTGCGGCGCTCGCGTCCAGTTCGTTGAAAGTGAAACTGATATCGTGGGCATCCTTAAACGGCTTCATGCTGCGCGGTAAGCTGCGGTGCCGCTGGCTCAGGTTCAGGAACTGCAGATCGCCGGCGGTCAGGGGTTGCATTGCTTGCAGGGGCACTTGTGGGGATGCGGTGGGCAGCTCCTTCGCCTGCGTCGTCCTGTTCGCCGGCGGAGGGGGAAGTGGCGGCACAGGACGCGGCTGCTTCTGCTTGGGCGGCAGGGCGGGCTTGGGTGCTTCCTGCTGCGGCGGCGGCTCCTCCTCCTCCTGCTCGATGATCTCCAGGACCTGGGCGGTGGCCTCCTCCTGCTCCTGGCCGTAGAACTTGGCCATGTTCTCGGTGGCGTCTAGAGAGCTGTACCGCTTGCCCCTTACCACCAGGTCACCCAAATGGTCGGCGTCGATCCCGAAGAGGAAGGGATCGTCGAGGACGGTCACCCTGGCGTTCCGCTGGGTCACCTCAACGGACTCATTGGCAGTGGCGGTGGGGATCTGCTTCCCCGACTTCTCCCCGCGGACGTGGGCTCGCAGGGATCGCAGGAGCTTCTTGCTCCGTCGCGGGGAGGAGGAGAGCGGGAAGAGGGTCCTCCCGCCGCCCTTCGAAGTGCCCGCAGAGTCTCCCAGATCGATGCCATCGTCCGCGTCCTCGACGGCATCTAATTGCCCGGCGATAAGATCGCAGTCCACGGTGTCGTACTCCCGATCGCGGCCATTGTCGTTGTTGTTGCCGTTGCCGTTGTCGTTGTCCTGATCCTGATTAGCGTCCGCCAGCCGCTTGGCCGCCGCCTTGCTATAGAGCTGTCGATAATACTTCTGCTGGTCGCCGTACAGAAAGCAGACGCGCCACCATTGTTTGCATGCCAGCAAATTGGCGGTACGTGGCACCATCGCCGGCTCCATGTTGCCGGTGGCAGTAACAGTTGCCGCAGCAGCAGAGGCCACAGAAGCAGTAGGATCTGCTCCCCCTCCTCCTCCTCCTGCTCCTGGTGCTCCAGGTGCTCCTGCTCCTCCGGCTGACAGGCTGCTCATGTTGCTTATTATTATTGTTCTTGGCCCGTAATTATTTTTCAGAGCTCGCTGCCTTCTCTTGTTAGCAGTGACATTCTGGCCTTGTAGCTGCTTTTTTGGCCCCTTTTGTTCCTTCGGCTTATTGAGTGCAGCAGTAAATTCAGCTTCGCTGGGAATTTTAATTACTTGTTTGCGGGTTTTTCATTTTGCGCACTTTTCCCGAAATTGTATTTGGTTCTTCTTTAAGGTTTTTCCTCCTGCAACTTTATGGGTTGTGGGTGGTTTTTCACTGAACTTCTACGGTTTTTATCCTTTTATTTCGTTGGCTTAGAAACGTTTAAAAACTGTGGTAAAGGTATGCAGCTGTTATATTACGCGGAACTTGATTTGTTTGTTTGTTATTTATAAAAACCAGTTGTGTAAAGTTGGGTTGCATTCAGTAGTTGACTTTCGAAAACCATTTTTTTCAGCTTAAACACTTTCTATAGAGCATGGTTCTAAGTAGAATCTTTATTAGCACATATTTTTCCTTCTCAACGACTTAAAATACATAATTTGTTTGTGGTTTCCACTTCATTCGATACAGATACAGATACAGATACAGATACAAATACAGATACGCAGCCCGAGGAAAACCCAACTTTCTCGACTGGAAATCGGAGACTCAACAAAGGCCAGCATCTTGATCGATTGCCTGTAATTTACTTTCCAACCAGATGAAAACCGCCGGGCATAAATCTAACACTTTCCCCCAACCGCACACGGAAGCTGCCTGCCGCAAGAGGAAACCTAATCAAATTTGTGTAGACACTGGAAATTGGCAGGTTGAGCCCTTAATGGCGATGGGATTGGATGTAAGGCAAATAGCGAAGCGTACACGCTTACCACTGCTAATGGCCGAAGGCAGAGATGATGATGGCAGCCAACGGACATCGGACATTGGACCATCATGGATCGGGAATCGGGAATCGGGAATCGGGGATAAGACAGGGTACATAAGACATCGACCATCGGGCATCGGGCATCGGGCATCGGGCATCGAGCCGATTAGTCACGCCTCTAATAAAGACGGCAGACACGTAGAGGCGGCAGGTATCGGCGGAAAATGTGGAAAACAGCGCTGCTAAGTGCGAGGCCAGTGCGGTTTCCACCGCTGCGATGCCCTTGTCAGATAATAATAACTTCATCTCCGTCTTCATCATCATCAGCGACGATGACTGCCGCAGCTGCCACAGAGTGGTAGCCAAATGCCTTGGCAGCACTGCAATTGCGGCTTACCATCATCCAGTCGTCCGAGCACGTAGCACATGTATCCTGAGTGTGTTTGCCCACCTCAGTCTCCTCTTTGGATATCTGAGCATCTGGGTATCCGAGTATCCGAGCATCTGGGCATCCCAGAGTGCATTAAGCTGCTTTTAGCCCACTGCTCGCAGACCGCCTTAATGGAGTCGACAAAAAGCGGGCTCTTGGCTCGTATTTATGAGATCAATGCCGGGGAAAGGCTGTCAATCAGGAGCGGAGGCAATATTTATCAGATTACCGGAGCCTTCGAGATCAAAGATCACGGCTCCAGGCACACGGACAGAAAAAACGGAGCGTTGTCACTTCGCCACTGACAACTCAATTAAAAGTTAAATGGCCAACGGAACCATTTTGAGTGCCGGGCTCACGAGACATAGCAACTGTCATAACAACGTTTATGGTGATCTTTGTGGCAACTTTTAGTATGCCTAATTTCGAAGTTTTGTTTGGCCTAAACGAACACAATATATGGTCATTTCAGATATTCATAATGGCTTGATTTATTATTGACTTCTTATTTGTTTGCACACAAGTTCAATAGCCGATTAATTTGATTTTGTCAATTTCTTAATGGTTTTCGTTTAAGTTGAATTGATGTAAAAGAGGTATCTCTTTAGTATTTTCTGGCTGTGCTATTCTGTTGGGGAAGGCAGTTTTTAATGTGTCACAGAGGAGTTTTTCTTTTTTTCCGGTTTTGAAAACGAGGCGTGAAAAGAAAACCCACTGCGAAAGTTCGTGCCACAGATATAGCAATTTTGTAGCTGAGCATATCCAAATAGAGGAGCAATTATGGTTCTTCCCTGTGCATATAGAACAGCAAACGGAGCACAGGTAAACATTCCACCTCGTCAGCATCTGGGGAAGGAATTCGAGGCAAGATTGCGGCCACATAATTGAATTATAAACAAGAGCAATTGCAGCCATAACCGCCCGAATGGGGCGACTGGCTTCCGGCTAGCACAGAAATTGAAGATGATTTCCAACCGCAACAAAGTCGGGGCCGCAGCACGCGATCTCGGCCAGATTCGCAGTTAGACAGCGGGTGTGATTAGGCCCAATGAGTGGGTAAGTGGGGGAAACTGGTTTCGCATGGGGAAGCGGCACTTGTGCATGATTCACATGTGCCACAAAAAGCTCTTCTGCACCGCACTGCAATGCGATGCGATGCGATGCGATGCGATGCTACTAAAACGCGATCACACAATAATCATAAAGCAAAAATGGAGCCGACCAGCCAGCGAATGCCCAAACAAAGACTTCCGGCGATCAAAGACAGAAGACAGAGGACAAAAGACGGGGCACTGGGGAGCCGAGATTCGTGATCCGAGATCCGAGGCTCCAGATGAAGTGGGTTTTGTGCCGCGAGGCACCGTTAGCATTTATTGATGGCGGTTGTTCGACATGTGTAAGTGACGCCATCGATGCTTGTCGCGTAATTCATCTGATGCCAATTGCCGGCGTTAATATCTGATAATGCCTGACCCACTGGCCACTGGCAGTGGCCGGCCAGTGATTGAAATCGCACCGAAGCATAGTGTACTTAGCATACCGACTGGGCCAACGGGGCGTATGCGCAGTTTGCATGCAACTCAACCGGGGCAAATACAGAAGTTGCTATTATTGTGATTTGCCACACGAGTCCACTTCGGCTGAGTGGCCGGCGGCTCTGTCATCAATCCCCAGCTCGAATTAGCCAGTTTGCCAGTTTGCCAGCTTGCCAGTTGGCCAATTGGCCAGGACCCCTTTTGCATGCTGCAAACAAAATAACAAACGCATGGTGGCTTTATGGAGCCTTTTATTGCCGGACATTTGTCGGCTTCAAGTTTTCATTGCCGGCGGCTGGGAAACTGCGTGGAAAATGGCAGACAGGCGCAATTAATTTTATGGCTATTTACGTAGATTTTCTGCGAGTGTAATTTACGGAGATGCAGGTTAAAAAGTCAATTGCTTTGTCTTGGTTTACTTTCCCGGCCTGCACTCCGAAGTCAAAGCCGTTCACCGCGGCTCTCAACCTTTTGTGTTGCGCCCACTTGAGCTTTGTTCCCCCAGACAGGCCGTCTGTTCAACGCGATGGAATTGTGTTATCAAGAACCCCATTCAGCCGGAGAATCCGACATATCTCTGGACTTATCACTGCCTACCTAAGTGGTTTAGAAAGCCGCAGACGTGACAACTCATTCAGCGGCGGCTGCAACTGTAAATTTCATAATTTATTATGCAGTCGGATGGCCCAATGGCAGCTGGCACATTTCCCGATATTACCATACGAAAGCCGCCAGATCGACAATATAAACAATGAGAATTATGCACTTAATAGCGGACTGGGGCCGGATTCTTTCCGGTTCTGCCGGGCGGAGATGTCTCACTCGCTAATGGATTAACTTGTTTGTCTGTTTTACGGCCCAACTATAATTTAGGCCTCCGATGGGCCGGCCCGCAATAATTAGACAGTTTAGGCCCGCCAGCCGAAACTAGTTTCGGCTAGGCGAAAGCCCAGCGATCTAATGAGCCATTGTCTGAGTCTCATATTTCACTGGGCGGATAATAATCTCACGCTGGAGCTGGGTGTTAAGTGGCTTTGTGTCCGCCGAAATTGATTGCCGCTCAGGAATTCCTTCTCGAGTTTTAATTGAGCTCGCCCCAAACCCGATCGCAGCTCGAAAATCGGTTAAACCGCCAGTCTCGAGCCGCGGAAAACAAAGTGAAAACGAAAATCGGGCCGGCACGCCTCCAAAGCCGAAACCTTGTGGGCGGCTGGCAGTTGCCGGTCTAATCTGCGGAGCACTCGTGTTAAATGTCAAATGCAATCAAAAAACGGCGAGGAGAAGAAAGGAAGCAGGTCGGGCAGCCAACAGCCAACAGCCAGCAGCTAGCGTTGCTCCATTTTCCGGGGAACCCGTTCTTATCTGCCTGGAAGATGGTTGGGAAACTAACGCGGCCTGACAGGATGACAGATCAAATTGGCGTTTGCATACGTCCATCGACGGACGGAACCCGTGTGTTTTTACGACTTCCCGCTCTAAAAGCTCATAACGCGGCCTAATTAATTTGCGACCCAAACATGCTCCCAATGACGAATGGCGGCGGAGTCTGGGAGTTGGTTCGTTGGTTTGTTGGTTTGTTGGTTCGTTGGTTCGACGTTAATTGTGGCTCTAAATGGACGTGAGACATGTGTAATATGCAAATGGAGGGCCAAGCGACTTGACATAACGAAGGTTAGGTTGTTGACCCACTCGGACCTTTGTTATGCTAACCGAGGCGATAACTGTATTGTGGCCAATCTAATCTGGGATTCCTTTGGTATTTGTATCTCACAGTACGAATCTGAGTGGCCGGGTATCTCTTCATGGTCCGGCAATTGCTGCTGCTGCGGCTGCGGCTGGAAAGCAGCCACAAATTAACACGCCATTTAGTTAGTCAGTTAGAGGCGTCGATTGGGGTTAAGCAGCCGTGGCAGCTGGCCCAAAGTGAGGGAGAAAGTTGATGCAGCAGAGCCATAATTGAGCCAACTAGTTGCCGCAACTCGGCCATAAACAACAGTTTTACTTCGCGCCGCCGCCGGCCGACGCTACATAATTATGAAGAATTCCTTAATAAAGCGCGGGGAATCGAAGTTGGCCGCAGCCGCAGTGCGAAAATTGATTTAGTTGGCCGGGCCATAAGCCCCACAGCGAATTGCACTGTTCCGTTGGAGCTTCATGGCGAATCTCGCCGGAATTCGCCTCAGAACCACTATCGCTCGCGCTTTAAATTCAAATCGGCATGTCGGGCAATTAGAAATCGGAGATAAATTTCAACCCCGGCCCACACACTCGATTGCTCCGAGTCAAATGTCGCTTGTCAATAAGGTGTTTCAGCTGGAAACCCGTGTCGAAGCCCACACGCGCTCACTTGGCTCAAAAGCAATTGCTAACAAGCCATTGTTGACACATTGCAGGCCATGTAGGTCCGATCGCCGCGTTCTGTGGGTGGCAGCTGGCTCGGATCCTCGGATCTTTTCAAATAGTGCCATGGAGCACTATGGCTCCGCAGCTGCTAATTGGATCAAGCGATCAGGCGGCGGAGAAAGCCGCTCGCAGTGCGCGGTAATCAAATTATTTCGGGCTTTGGCCAAGTGTTTTCGTGTTTTTATGGCTAGACAAGTCGTGTTTTATGTGCGCGAGCAGGTCGTAAGCCTATTTGGTTATGACTTCATTCCGCGGTCCTGCAGCAAGTTGGTGAAAGTGCGCCGCAGTGCGGCGAATTGAAATGGCGATTAAAGCTTGACGCATCCAAATAAATCAAGCGGAGCACTTCAGTTGACGCGTAATGTGCATAAGCCAACGAGCTCCATTGAGCCGGGTTCGTTGGCCAACTAACAATCCAAGGAACACTCCCTGGAAAACCGATTCTCGACACTCGATAAGCCCATAAAAATATTGAGCTAGGGCAGCCGACCCGACGCCTTGCCTCGCATATCAATCGCTCTCGAGTTTCATTTGATTTTTAATGTAATTTTATTGTTGTCTCTATCTATGAATGTATCTGTATCTGTATCTCAAGGTGTGTGTGTATCTGGGGAAGGGGTTTGGGTATCCGCTCGTATCGTATCCATGTTGCTGCGTTGACAATCCGCAGGCGAAACACGGATTAAGTCGCACCTCACTTGGCCATTTGGCTTATCCCGTGCTTTTAGCATAATTGAATGATTCGCGGGCTTTTAAATAAATTCACTTTGCCCGAAGGAGGAGCACTCTGCCAGTTTCAAAAGGAATTTCCCTGATAGGGATCGCTCTGGATTCTGATTGCACTTCACTTGTTTTTGTCAGTTCCTGCGACTTTTGTTAATTCAGTTAACAGCTTTTTATTGTTGTTGTTTTTTGAGCACTTTGCCCAGATCTAGCTGAAAAACGGTAAATGACAGATCTGGCGCAAGATAATGCGGACCGAAATCGACATCGACGAAGACCCAAGCGATCGATCGATCAGACGGGTTATTTGACAGCAAAGCGCACCTGTTTCCAGGTGTAAACCGCTCGCAACGGACAACGCTTTCAGACTGATCGAACTTGGCCAGATGTGGATCGCCCTCGAGTTGGATCCCCCGCTGCGGATGAAGTTCGATTGGGGTAATGAATAACTGAAGTGGTTTCATAAAAAAGTAGCCAAGTAAATTCTCTTTTGCAAGAAATTGTAACCTATGTAAACATTTATGTATTGAAATACTACAAATATTTGGAATGGCAAAATGGATTATAAATACAATTGGAGTCTAAGCTCCAACTTAAGCTACAACTCCAACAGCGAACACGATACTGGTTCGATGCAACCAGGGTTTATATTAGCGCCCTAAAAATATGCTTCACTTCCAAGCAAATCCAAAAAAAAAATAGCTTGGAATACATGTAGAATCTTGTGTAAATGTAATTAAGAATTCTTCCAACTCTTAATGTAGATCGAATTTGTTTATTCGAATCGTTTTGCACAAATGCATTGAACATTTACAGTAGTCTTAAGAAATCTTTAAAATAATATAAGAATTTTAGCCAAATTTGTAGTTTGTAGCTTGGAGTTTGGTTTTATTCTACATTGGCTAAATGTAGAGTTCTACATTAGCTTGGAGTTTGGTTTTATTCTACATTGGCTAAATGTATAATTCTACATTAGCTAAATGTAGAATAAAACCAAACTCCAAACTACAAACTACAAATTTGTTTTAAATTTTTATATTATGCAAGTATGTATACAATGACGTAAGGAGTTTCTTTTATTGGTTGTTAAGAATAGTTCTCAAACTAACCAGAAAGTGGTCATGGCGCTGATAAAAAATTTTAACTTTTTGGGAGTTAGATATCTCAATAAAATTCGAGTATGAATAAAACGCGACTTTTACTGTTGCCTAGAAATTTAATGATGTCTGAAATATCTAATCGTATTTCACCGAATGGTGGCGTTATGGAAAACAAGCTAATAAATCTGAGTAAACCGGGGACAAATCCAACTTTCAATTTTAAGTCAACTTTAAGATGGTAACCGTGAAATATGATTTCAATAAACAAACTTAAAGTGTAATACAAGACACGTTTGAGGCATGTGACATTATTTAAGGTAGCTCGAATAAGGGGTTAACCCATTTTCAGTCTGTCGCTAGACAAGCATAAATATTTCCCAATTTAGTTTTACAGGCCATAAAAGCGAAGACAAAGATGCGATGTCAACCGTGTTGGCCATGTGAGGGGTTCAAGGTTAATTCGCTGCTGACCATGTTAGTTGGCCACCATGCATGCCAACCTGGCATCATTAAGCCCCACATAAGTACTATCTCAACGCGGTCTGTGGGCTAATTAGACGTGAGTGTGAACGGAAACGCTGCGTTTCTGCTTGCCGCTTTTTGTTGCACCGCTCGGAATGCTCATGATGCATGATTTATGACGTTTTGAATTGTGGATCGGCGGCGTGTGAAGCTCCCGAGGGGCCGGGTCTCCAAAGACTTACCCACAGATGCGTTTTCCTGGGTTCGGGTGGGTGTTTCACTTGTCTTACCTGAAAGGAAAATGGAAATAGAAGGTGATTAGTTAAACTCTAACAGCCCGAAATAAATATGTTCTATGATCCCTTAGGAGCAAGGATTAGGGCTAGTGTTGACGCTATCGCAAAATCAATTTGGCTAATTGCAAGCATAATGGCCTCGTTCGTCGCCACATTTCATCAGACACCGGCGAAAAGGAACTTCAGAAGAGCAGCCCAGAGTGTGCAGACAACTTTTTGACACGCCAGTTTTGGGAGGGAGAGGTCCTGGGGGCGGGACATGGTTCGTTTATTAGTGGAATCGAATAACCCCCAAAGTGTCATCAAATCAATGCAAACTAGCTCAAATCGAAGCCAGCTCCGGAACTTTTCCGGCCGACATTTGCGCGCCATTAAGCTTGATGGGGGTTGCGAGGTGTGGGCCGTGAATTCCTTCCGGGAAATGGGCAATTTTGCTGGCCCATAAAGGGCCATCGTAATGGGAAAAGTTAACGCCACATCAGGGGCACAGGTGTGTCCCCCCCCGTCGGAAAGTAGTTTCCCACCCGCCCGGCTAATAGATTTCCAAATCAATAGACCCTCCCAGGGGAGTTTTCTGGGTTTCCTCGCGAGAAACTTCTCTGTTTTAAGGCCACATTAAATTTGGACGAAACACTGTAACGCACGCATAAAAGGACTTTGGTCGCACTGGAAAACTTCGCAGGAATCGCAACGGCTTAAGCGCACTGGGTGCTCTCGATAACAGACACCACATCCTCGGCCATGTCGCAGAGGTGCGAGTAGGTCTGCATGTAGAGGCTGTCCCTGAAGGACTTCCGCGAGCGCAGTTTCTTGAGCAGGTACAGGTGCAGGTTCTCCCTTCGCAGCTTCCGCATCCAGGGCCTCGGCTCCGATCCCTCGCTCCCGCGGTCCTCGTCCTCCGATAACATCTCTGACAACATCTTTTGGTCCTCCTTGACCTGGAAGCGGTTTATCTCCAGCCTCAGTCCGCTCAGCTCCATGGAGGCCATCGCCTCCTCCCACTCCTGGATGCCGTTGCCGATGCACCCGCGGACGTAAATGAACCTGGACCGCATCCTCTCCTCGTTCTGGGCAAAGTGGGTGAGAGAACCCTTGATTTGCTTGAGGGCTTCTTGAACATCCACTAGCTTAGCATAGTGCAGCTTTCTTTCGTTAGAGTCTGACAACCGCAGGATAACCTGAAGGATCGTCTCGAGTCGGAGATCCCAGGCAGGCTCCCTGGGTTTTTTCAGTTCTTCATAGAGGGCTTTCAGGGTTTCGAGGTCGTCGAACCGCTCGCAGTGGTAACCCGGGTTCTCGGCATTGAACACCTCCCGCTCGTCCAAGGGATATTCGTAGGGACACACCACTTCGGGCGGATGCAGTAGGGGAACAAGGTCGGCGTGCCCCTTTACCAGGTCGTCGGCCAACCGCTTCTTGGACTTGTCCGTGACCAGCGACAGGTTCCGCCTCAGCTTCGCCGTGTACTCCGGTGCGGGGACACAGCGTCCCGACACGCGGGCCACGAACACAGTGCGCACCGTGCCGATGACGTTGGGGAAGATCCTCAGCTCGAAGCGCTGCTTGTGCAGGTAGCAGCCGCGGGGACGGAAGAGCACCCGGCACACCTGCTCCTCGCCCGGGAAGACGGTGAAGCTTCCCAGCGAGAGGAGGAGGGAGTCCTGGCAGAGGGCCAAGCTCTTGGGGTTCCGCTTGCACTCGGGGCCGGACCACTGGCAGGTGAGCACCTGGCGGCCGACGTTCTCCACGCGAGCCACCTCCTTGACCACCTTCTGGTACGGGTGGCACTCCAGGGAGATGTTCGCGATCTCGGGACTCAAGCACCTTCTGCCCGAGTTGAAGTACAGCACGCCGTTGATCTTGACGGCTGCTTTTGGAGTCACATTGGCGGGGTCCAATTCCGGGGAAGTGTCTTCCTGCCGGTCCTCCTTTGACTCCTGCTCCAGAACCTGCGACGAACTGCTCACGCTGAAAATGGTGTCGTCGGGCAGCCGCTCTATCGGATGCTGGTCCGGGTAGCCCCTCGAAAAGCTACCGCCCACCACCTCCAGCTGGTCGACCTCCGGCAAAAAGTCGAGGACCCTCTTGATGTCGCCGCTCTTCCGCTCGATGTGCTGCGCCAACTGCCGGGACTTCAACCACTGGGAGGACTTCTCGGGCTGGCGGAACGCCGCTCCCAGGATCTCCCGCTTGGTGGAGCCGGGCAGACCGCTGACCTCCAGCTCCGCATGTCCGCTTCTCTCCGGCAGCGGTAGAGTCTCCTGCAGTTGGGGCAGGAAGCGGCACTTGTCACAGTCCACTTGCTCGGGAAGAACTCCTGGCTTCTTTTGGACCAAGGTGGTGGGGTTCATCCGGCCCGCGAGGTCCAGCAGCCGCTCCACGGTGGCCCGATCCCTGGGAGCCACCATGCTCGCCGAGTTGATGAGCATCTCGTGCGGACGACGGCCCAGCCTCCGCTGGATCTTCGCCTGCACGGCGGCGCGGTTCTGCAGGGTGTCGTGCCAGTGCTTCAGGCGCGGGTCCATGGCCATCGACTCCCGCATGTCCTCGTCGATGGGGCACGACGACTCGGAGAGTGTGATTGTTCCCCCTTCTTCTCCAAAACATCATCAATGATGTCGTGCACTATGTTCCTGCCCTGCTGCAGCGTGACGCCCTTGAGAACCCCATGCTTCTGGTACACGATTTCCGTGTTATCCGACTTAATCTCCGCCGTGTTCTTGTGGGAGTCGTGCTCCTTGTGAGGTGCCGCGGCCTCCAGGTAGGAGTGCAACCTTGAGCGGAGCCGCACGCCGGTCAAATCGTTTACAATTGACCCTTCCATTTTTTTTTGTTTTTGTTATAAATTAAGTGTGTTTAATTTTTGTATTTTTTTTTCTGTATGTACATGTACTTTGTACTTTGTTTAGGACAGCTAAATCTGTGCTGTGCTCTCGATCACCGACACAACATCCTCAACCGCACTGCAGATCAGTCCGTACAAGTGGATGTAGATGGAGTCGAGGAAAAACTTTCTTTCCTTGTTGCCTCCTCTAGTAGTTCTTGATCTAAGCCAATGCACCCTTTCTTCCCATTCCTTCAATCTACTGGCGAGCATTCCTCGCACATAAATTACCTTTGCGTTGAAGCGTTTCTTTAATCTTAGAAGTGAATCAGCTCTGCAGAATGGCACCTGAGATGGGCCACGCAAGTCGTCGAGCAACTGGGTCAGTTCTGATAAGTTCTGAATACGCTTCCCAGTGTCCTGATCACAACTAATCAGGTGGAAGAGCGAGTGCACACTGTAGTCCCAAGGGAAAGGATTTGATGACGGGCACTTCATTTTCTTGGAAAAGGCCTTCAGTCGCTCCAAATCTTCGTACCTTCGGCATCGGAAACCTCTGTTTCGTCGGTTGAAAACTTCCCGCTCCTCAAGCTCCCTTTCATATGGACATAAGAAAGAAATCGGCTTCACCTTATAAGCTTGAGGCTCAGAAGGCATCATCTGTATCTTCTCCATATCCAGACGGTCCAGGTATTCCTTGGGTGGAGTGCAGCGACCATTCAGGTTCAAGGTGAAGCCAAATGGACGGCAGAAGAAGATTCGTGGCTTGGTGCAGAGCAGCCAGCGTTGCTTTACAATCGCCACGAACCTCGGTTGATAGAGAACCGTGACATCTCGGAATTCGCCTGGAAAAAGTACAAAGGGGCCAACGTCGAACACAAAGTCTCCTGGCTCGGTTTCCATGAGGGTGTCATTGTTCGAAAAGTAGTTCACCTGGTGCCAGCTGAGGTGCAGCTTCTGGCTGCCGCAGTTTTCGATTCGAACGATGGTGCGCAGGTGGCGAAGGAAGGGATTGCAGGTGAAGGTCCGATCAACAACTGGTGAGAACTCCGGAACGCGTGGCCAGTAGTGGACTCCGTTGATACGAACCCCCGGACCACTCGTCGGTTGTTGGGTTGGCTGAATCGATTGCACGACCTCGTCTCCGCCGCTCGACCTTTCATCAGACTTAATAGTGGTTTTGAGGCTTGGAACAGTGATCAGTGCCTTCTGACACTCCTTGTAGCTTCTCCCGACCACCTCCAGGTTACAGATATTCGGAAGTGACTCTGCCAAACAATTCTTCTTAGAGAGAGAGAGTTTAGCACCTGAATGTTTCGGTAGTCCCACTACCTCTGCGAAGCCTTTTACCGACAGTTTCACTATTCCATTCTCACGAGTAAATATTAACTGATTTGGAGATCTTCCCGTTTCCTTCCGAAGTTTTTCTTGCAGCTTCCGCCGTTGGATGAGCATATTTTTCCAATACTCCAGACGACGGTCTACGCTACTCTTGCATTTTCTCAATGGAAGACCTACCAGTGAGGATGAAAGGGATTCGGACTCTTCACGGATTCCTCTTTTAGGGTACTCCTTTAAAATGTTGCCGATGAGGTCATTACACAGCGCTTCTGGGTCAATGTTGCTGTCGGAAGAGTCCTCCTTAATTGTAAAATTCGTCGGACTAGAGCACATTCTTTTTTGTTTTCTGAGTTTTAATTAAATTAATTGTCAACATTCATGCAAGTGTTTTGACATAAACGTCAAGGTGAAGCCTCTTAAAAGGGTGGTAGTTGTAAAGTACACAAAATAAAAATTAAAATTTGTATTGCAATTAAATGGGTTTGCAATTTCATATAAATGGGTTATATTGATATCTAGATGCGTGACTGCTCGAATGCTAGACTTCATCTTTTCAAGGTATTTTATTCGCCTATGCAGAAAACTGGATCTGTGTTAATTACAATTGTTTTGGATTTTTCGAATTTTGTTATAGAAAATGCTATTTTCAAATGTATTTTGTATTTTTTTTATATTTTCCAATTTTTAAGTTTTTAATTTGTTTACTTGCATACGTTGTTGTCTGAAACTATCAAAGAATTTCAACTCTTTTAACCGCACCTAAGCACTTCCCGTTTTATTTCTGATACACGCAAATAAATACACTATGAAGACAACAATCGATTTGTGCTGCCATTTTCCAAAGTAACGCAATTGTTTCAGTTTCCTGGTGAAAGGTCCGGCTCGACTTCAGTGCTCTCGATGACGGACACAATGTCCTCGGCCATGTTGCACAGATGAGAGTAGGTTTGTATGTAAAGGGAGTCCCGGAAGTACTTGGAGTGGTACAACTTGCGCATCACCGCCGTCCGGATCTGTTCTTCATCCATTTGCTCCTCCCCGATAATTTCCATGAGTTTTTCCATATCGATGGGTGTCACGGGACTCGGCTGCTCAGGCTTCTCCTCCTCCTGCTCCTCGTCGCCCTCCTCCAGCTGCCCCAGCAGGTTCCTGTAGAACCGCTGAAGCTCCGGCTTGAAGAACGAGTCCTCCACGTTGAACATGAGATCCTCCCACTCGGCGATGCCATTGCAAATCACCCCGCGCACGTAGATGAACCGTGAGCGTTGATTTTGCTCACTCCGCTGGAAAGGGGTGTTTAGGGGGGATCCAGTGCCCATCAGAGGAGCGAGCAGATCGGTGAACTCGGCAAAGGTCGCTTCCCGCTCCACCAAACTCTCCACTCGCAGGATGTAGTCCTTGATCGTGGAGAGTCGCAGATCCCAGAGCGGTTCGCGTGGCTTCTTCAATCGATGGTGAAGGGATCGGAGGACCTCGAGGTCATCGAACCGGACGCAGTTGTAGCCGGGATTCAGGGCGTTGAAGGCCTCGCGGTCGTCGAGAGCACGATCGTAGGGACAGCAGGTGGGAGGAGGAACCACCAGCGGAGCCAGAGCTCCCAGGTGCGTGGTCAGCTTGTCCATGGCCACCGCGTCCGACTTGCAGATGCAGGCGCACTGGCACTCGAGCAGCTTGGCCATGTAGTCCGCCGGCGGGGAGCAGCGTCCGTGGAGGCGGAGCAGCAGCGACTCCTGCCGGCCGCAGAAGATGCGCGGCTCCACCTGGAGCAGCCAGAGCTCCACGGACATGGCCACCTTCCGCGGCTGGTAGAGCACCGTCAGGTTGCGGGTCTCCCCCTGCGACAGCCGGAACCCCTCGAGGTCGAGGTAGAACTCGTTGTCCCTGGCCAGCAGCAGGGAACCCCGGTTGTAGTAGTAGGTGCTCTGCTTCCAGGTGAAGGAGAGCATCTGCCTGCCGATATTCGTCAGCTGCAGTATGTGCTTAACCCTCCGCTGGAAGGGATCGCACCTGAACCGGGTGACGATCTCGTAGCAGTCCTTTATCCCGCCGGTGTCGCCTTCACCCGGAATGTAGTCCACCCCGTTGACCCGCAGCCCCACTTCGGGCACCACCACTGGTTCCTGGGTCGACTGGTCCTCCGTGGCGCCGCAGGACTCGCAGGACACGCACTCCTCGGAGCAGATGGGCGTACTGTCGCTGTTGGTCACCGAGTGCATGGAGTCCGCCTTCACCAGGATGGTTTTCGGCGGAGGCTTCAGCTTGGCAATGCCCGTTCCCTTGACCTGCAGACTGTCCAGATCGGGAAAGAACTCCACCACGTTCTGGATGGCCGGGAAGCGCTGCTCCAGCCGTTCGTCCAGGAAATCCGACTGTAGGAACCCCGGCAGAGCCCTCTGCTCCAAGGCCTCCTTGCCCAGCAGCTCCCGCTTGCTGACATCGGGCAGGCCTATGATCTCCACGTCCTTGTAGCCCACCCTTTCCGCCTTTGGGGGCGTGGCCTCCAGGCCGGGAATCCTCTGGCAGGTGCAGGGGTCCTGCTGGTCCTTGAGCTTGCCCACCTGCCCACCCGCCGCGGCCATCAAGTGCTCGCACTCCATGCGATCCGCGTAGTCCAGCAGCCGCTTCACCGTCTGCCCGTCGCGGTTGTCCAGCGTGGAGCGGCGGTTGAAGAGCACCTCGCTGGCCAGCTTGCCCGTCTCCTGCTGGACGCGCTTCTGCATCTTCCTGCGCTCGAGCAGCACCTCCTTCCAGTAGCGCAGCCGGCGGTCGACGTGCGGCTCCCGCTCCTCGCGCGGCCAGGGCTTCTCGGCCAGGTGGCAGGAGGAGGAGGTCTCCGGGAACTCCCCGCGGCGCTCCTTGAAGATGTCGTTCAGGATGTCCTCCACCATGCGCTCCGTGTACTTGCCCATCGGCGAGGCGGCGTTCAGCTGCGCCTGCGCCACCATGCGGGAAGTGGGCACCGACAAGGACGAGGGCAGCGACACCATGTTGGCCCTCGTGAACCTGGAGGCGGACTCCATTGTCTTGCGGGTGAACGTGGAGGCCGTCGGGTTGGACTTTGGGGTCTGCACATCGATCAGCATGTGCGCACTGGTCGCCTGCGAGTCTACCTTTTTGGGTGTGTCCATTTTGTGGATTTACATGTAGTAGAAAATATACAACCGATGGACAAGTTTTCCCTCTAGAAATTATAACGAACCAGAGGCACTCGCTTCCAAGCCAGCTAAGTAAGACCCCTTTGTTTTTCGGTGAGAACTAAGCTTGTTGTTATTTCCGAAACAATCATATCCAAATACCCTGCTTAAGCTAAGATTATACGTTCCCCCAATAACTAGATTTAGTTTATTTCTAAATAGATTTCGCTTGTCCTAAATAATAGAAGGTCGCTGCTTGGTGGTGTATCGTTAAATAAATTGAATTCGATAAATAAATCTTACTTTTACTACAGTGCTCTTTAGCACACGCAGAAATGGACAGTGAAGATGTTCAGATAGTTAAACCACTGTTTTATGATTAAACCAGTGAATAGCATTCGTAAAAGTTTAATTGAATAGAAAAGTAAACCGTTTGATTCCAGCTAAGTGGCAATTACAGTTTTACATTATTCCACACATTCAGCGTACTTTTCCACAAAGCAAGTGGTTGAGAAGTTGGAAATCAATTTGATAAGCTAGAAAATCCAGTTAATAAAAGAGAAAAACTACTCAAAGCATTGTAAATGTTAAACCGTTTTACTTAAAAATATAATTATCTTTATTGTTAACTTCTGAAGAACTGAGTGAATAGAACTGCGTTTCCAGGTGCCTTTGATGGTAGTTTCATAGTGTAAAGAGGGAAAAGGCGCCTCGGTGCAATCCGAAGACTGAATCCTAGTCGGCGGTGCTCTCGATCACGGATACAATGTCCTCGACCGCATTGCAGAGCAGATCGTAGGTGTGCATGTAAAGCGAGTCCTTCAGGTACTTGCAGGACCTGACCGTCTTTGAAATGGTTTCCACTATATCCTGCTCCTCGGACGATTCTGACAGACGGCGCAGGCCTTTCCTCGGGGACACTCCTCCGCTTCTTGGAAGGCTGGGATGCTCGCCGAGGCGCCGAAGGAGCTCCAGTTTGAAGAACTGCTCATCCAGACCCCAGGCCATGGCCTCCCACTCGTCGATGGTGCTGCTGATGGTGCCGCGCACGTAGATGAACCTTGCCTTGTCCCGCTCCGATTTGTTATCCAGGATGGCGAAGGGCGAGCAGCTGTTGCACTTCATCGGCTGGAGCAGTTCCACCAGTTGGTTGTGGAGGCTCTCGCGCAGGAGGCGACTCTCCTGCTTGCCGATGAAGGTCCGCAGGGACTCGATGGTCAGGTCCCAGGGTCGATCGCGCGGCTTCTTGGCCAGCGCATAGAGATCCTTGAGGGCCTCGAGGTCCTCGTACCGTTCGCAGCGGTAGGAAAAGTTCTGGGCGTTGAAGACCTCGCGCTCGTCGAAGATCCTTGTATAGGGACACAGCAGGGGAGGATTCTCGATGATCGGAGCCAGGCCCGCGTGCAGCTTGATGAGGACCTTCGCCTGCAACTTCTGCTGCTTGTCCACCAGCAGCTTTTGGTGGGCCTCGAGGCGCCGTTGGAACAGAGCCGGAATGGTGCACTGCCCCTGGATGATCACGTCCAGCCGACGGGTGCCGCAAAAGGGGGACCTGGCGAAGCACACGTTCCAGCGCTGCGTGAACAGACCCACTATCTCGGGCTGGAACATCACTCGGATGACTCGGCGGCCCTGCGGCTCCAGGATGAACTCGGTGCGGTCGAAGATCAGCTCGGAGTGCAGGGTCATTCGGTCGGATCGCAGGCGGTTTTTGGACAGCCAATAGACGTGCACCAACTTGGGACTTAGATTCTGGGGGAGTCTTTCAGTTAGTGAGTTGGCTACCAAATGGTTGTCACCAATATAGTAAGGGAACAAGTATTTAAAAGCTAAAAGTTAAACTCTCTATCCAGATTTGTGAGAATTACCCACACTTAATCAAGCTCAACAAATATTTGTCAATCACCTCCAACAACAATAGCAGGAAGCCTTTGTTGTCGTCCAATTTAAAATATCAAGTGCACCTGCAACATGCTTTTTGAAGGTTATTTTGACAAATTAAAGCGTTGGTTCCTGTTGATGTATACTATTTTAGAACGCGAAAATCAAAAAGAAACATTTCTGAATATACCCCTGACAACACAGATTACCTGGATGTCCAAAAGCACCTTGACCGAGCGTTCGTAAGGATCACATTTAAGCATCATGTTGATTGTTTTGCCAGGGGACCCGCTTAAGTTGCGATAATCGAGGAGCATGCCGTTGACCATCAGTGCGTTCGTGTCCTGTGGATCGTCCAGATCCTGTATCTGCAACTCGCCTTGGCCCCCCTTCTTGCCGACCTTTTCGGGTTCCACCTCTGGAGGAGCCTCCTCCTCGCCACCGTAGGAGAGCAGGTCGAGCAGATCCGCGTCCTCCTCCTCTTCGGAAGTGGAATCCCCGGTGAACTGCAGGCTTTCGCCGTCGTCGATCCTGGTGACCGGAGGCGACTTGGTGACCCTCTCCCCAACTGCCGGCGTGACTTGGAGCTTCTGGAGGTCGGGGGCGAACTCGAGCACCTGCTGGATGAACTCCTTCTTGGCCTCGAGCCGCTGGTCCAGGACCTTGGAGCGCTGCCACTGGCTCTCGACCGCGGTGGGAGGCACCTCGGTGGAGGCCAGCTCCTTTTGGGTCACCTGCGGCAGTCCCACGAACTCCACCTGCTGCATTTGCGGCTTGGCGACGTACAGCTCGTGAATGTCGCGGCAGAGATCGGGATCGCGGCGCGGCTTCAGCGAGTCCAAGGTGGCGTTCTCCTTCAGTCGAACTAGAGGTCGGGATCGGTCGGCGGAGTCGAGGACCCGCAGGATCATCCGCTTGCTGGCCTCGTCGATGGTCGCCGAGCGGTTGAAGAGGACGTCCTCGGCCCGCTTTCCAGTATGCTGCTCGATCCGCTCCTGGATTCGCCGGCGCTGCTCTAAAATGCGGTTCCAGTTGCGCAGCCGGGGGTCCATGTCCAGGTCCTCGTCCCCCTCCAGACACACCTTCTTGTGCGACTTCTGAATCGCCGGGCGGAACGGGTCCACGGAGGAGGACGATGGCTTCAGCTGGAAGTTCTCATCCTGCAGGACCTCGTTCAGAAGGTCCTCCAGGGTCTGGGCCGCCAGATAGTTGCTGGCATTCTGCTGCCCCTCGTCAGGGCTCATCACGCAGTTGTGAATGCTCGTATGGGATCCTCCTTCGTCCGAAAGACCATCAACCTTCGCTAGGGTGTTTATGGTAGATTTCAGCGTGCGTCTCATTTTCAAAGATTGCTTCAGTTTCGGAGTGTAATAGAGTGTGACTATCTGACAGAAAGTTCCTATACTGTATGAATCAGAGCTTATCACCTAAAACTAAGCTACAGGAAGCGTGTGCTTACTAAATTTAATTCGAAGGAGGTCGTGGGCATTGCTAGTTCAATAGCTAGTAGAGAGAAAATTCCTCACTTTGTTCGGCTCCCAGTAAATTGCAATTTATGAGGCTGGCTGTTGTGCTAATTCGCTAACAATCCCCACCAAACTGCTCCAAAAACCTGATAGGAAAACCCGGCTCGTGTGACAAGTCATCGTAATTTCCGCCCAGGCAGTTGGCTCGAATTCGAATTTCCCTCGCCATTTACCTTAGGACTCAATGGCATTGACGTGCCGCCTTCACACAATTCAAAAAGTTGTTAGAAGTTGTTGTTTTTTTGGCTGTTGCTTTTGCTGTTTCTGTTGATGTTGATGTTGCCATTGTGACTGGCAGTGCCAACAAAGAGAAAGGAGTCGCCGGGGCTGTCGTATGTCAACTTACCTGAAACGAGAAGAGGAGAAATATTAAATTGATTTATACACAAGTCATGTGCGAGCTTGCAGCAACTGAATATGAACTATTCCTTATTTATGGACGGTTCAAAGGCTCATTAATTATGTCATCTGTGGTTTGGCTGGAGGTCGAGGTGGAGCTTTAATGTGGTTTGGGGTTAGACGTAGCCAAGGATTTGCCCCGTCCGCTGGAAGGGGGAGGCGAAGTGAGGTTTTCCATTCGAGGAACAAACTTTTTGCTCAACAAAAGGGCGAAACACAGAAAACAGTCGAGCGAAACAAAGCCATATCAATTACCCCGGCAACGAACCGTTCAGAAGTATAAAGTTATTTAGCCCGAACCGCTAAGGGAGGGACGGGATCCTGGCCAAGAACAAAGGCCACAAACCGCAGAAAGGAAGCCGAGTAGGGACTGATAGTGGAAATGGGAGTGGGCCCGAGCTGCGGAAATGCAGCGCATTGTTGGCAATTTCAATACTCATCATTATTACGGCGGCTGGAAGCCCTCGAGTGCATGTGCTCCATCTACGTGCCGGCGAAATGCAATCAACATATTGTAATTCAGAAATGCATATTGAGAACGTGCAAAAGATACTCGTACTTGCAACAATGCTGATTCTGCCACTGCCACTGCCACTGCTTCTGCTGCACTTAACGGCCCGCCGGAGGAAAACAAAACGAAGCCGTGCCAAAAGCAGGGGACATTGTTGCCGCCGCCTCAAGTGGATCCAGCGTAAAAAAAATCTGGCAGCGTTTGCATTTTGATTTCCCATCTCGCATTCTCTCAAGCAACGCATTTATTATTTACCAGCCAGCAACAGGCAGCAAGAAGCCAGAAGCAAGTTGAAAACAGCGAGCTGCAACTCAATTCCGCAGACTCATGCTGCAGTTGTCAACGACTGCGCCGAAGAACCGAAGACCCTTGCCCCCACGATTCCCCACTTCTTCCAGCTGCATGTTGCATACCACTTGGTGTTGACAGTGAGACAACAGCACAACGGCAACAGCAACTCGAGACCCAGACGCCAAATGTGGCGCTCGTTGAGTGAAGTCGGACTGACGGACTGACGGACTGACGGACGGACGGACTGACGGACGGACTGTCAGACAAACAAACCCGTACAATCTGTTTGTACACTATCAATGCAAAAACCATGATGGATAGCGCGGAGTCAGAGTCCTGTGCATATCAAAGACATTTAATTTGATTCCTCCTTAAAGTAAACTTCATACCCTTGAGCCTTTTGCAAGCGATATCATTTACTATAAGAAGTAAATGTATGTTTCAATGTATAAACTATGGGCTATTAGACAATTTTAAAGTAAATTTAAGAACAACCTTAAAATTTTGGATTCCCGACTTTTTTTTGGAGGTTTGTATTATCTAAAAAAATGTATTTCTTCTAAGGTTTAGCTTAACTCAAACACATCGAAGAGAATCAAGTTTACGAGCTAAGCATGTTCGACATTTAATTAACACAACGCTTGTCGATATATGATCCAAAACTAAAGTAATAAAAGTACCCATTGAAAGTATATAAACGGTTCAACTATGTTCAGAAAAATGCAAATTAGCAACTTAAGAGGTTAGAGCTGAAGCATAAACCATACAAAAGTATTTTAAGATTTTACCATGCCTCTTTCACTATTCTAAACTATATTTTGTGCCTGTTACCTACTCTTTAACAAAGCAGTATACCCTTTTTCTATACAAACAAAGGGTATAATAAAAATACATTTTAAATTTTATTGTTTTTTTTATTTTAAAATCATGTTGGGTTCTGTTGGACTTAATTTTCATTCAAGTACCAGTACAGAAGATGCCAAAATTTTGATTGACTTGAAATTGAGTTGATTAAAATTTTAGTTGATTTCTTTTAGTACATCTCTATTAGCAGTTAATGTTTTTAAGGCTTGTAGGTTATTGACTTAATTTCTCTCAGTTGCTTAATCTTAAGCAAATGATTTTTGAAGATCATCTTCAAGATACCTCCTGCTATAATGCAACTTATTATCGTTATGTTAGCGTTTAGCTGATATACCCGCCAACTCCCATAAAAACAGGGTGCTCAAGATACTAAAACGAATTTATTTGCGTTCGGTTAGTTGCTGCCCGACATGCAAATGCTGTTCGCCGCATTGATGACGCCCATAATAATCAAATTTTTATTGAATGAATTGCAAGCTGTTAAAACGCGAAAATATTTGTCAAGCGGCGAGGCCAAATCCATTGAGGTTTCCATTGGCCGGACACGGGACTTGTTCGGGCAGTCCGGATCGGGCGGGTTCGATCGCATGTGTGGCCATAAAAGTGCGTTACAAATAACAGCACTTTTATTGAATAGTGCTGTAAAGACAAGTGCGCCCGCTGCCTTGGACCGTTAGAGAGGTCTGGTGCAATCAAATTCGAGGCGATCACTGCGAAAAACTCACTAGGAGTTTCATGCGGCTAACTCAGATTTAATTTCCTTTTTTTGTAAAAGGGAAACTAACCAAATTCGGTCTTTCAATACTATCGATGTTTTATTAGACATTATTTGAATAAAAATGTTAGTTTTAATTGTGAAAAAAGTGATTGTTAAATGTCCCGCCTTGTATTACAGTTTAAAAATACTGCAAAAGTTGAAAACACTCATTAACCAATCTACAGTACATACACTTAGGATCAAATTGTTTAGAAGAATATAGATAACCTACGCTTTTACCTTACAATGGATGCCATTGTATAGAGAATTCTTTGAATTTCATTCTAACAATGAGAGTTTAAATTTGCAATCCAAACATTCTGTCGGAAATGTTCTTAGAGTTTATATAACCCATTGTGTTTTGATAGATAAGTATTCAATTTGTCAAAGTAAATAAGAAAAATAGTAGTAATGTATTTACATCAACCAAATCGCTAGGAAGTTTTCTGTAAGTCTTTCAAATCCTATCGAGAATAAAACTACATTGCCATTTTCCCCCCTTTTTCACAGTGCAGACTGAAACTCGAACGCAGACTTGAAAATGGTTGATTCGAGTTAATTGCTGTGCAATTTGTGAGCAGCAAAATGGAATGCGCTGTCAAATCAAACCCGAAGCACTTAATTAAAACTTATTGAAGGCAATCGCCAAATGTGGCGCTGGCCACTGCGCTCCTAATTGCATAAGCATGTTGCTGCAGTCGCAGTGTTGCATGTGGCACGCTGCAAGCTGGATGCTGCAAGCTGAATACAGCTGCCGGGATTCGTTTGTTTACCTGACTTCGGCGGACTTGATGATGGCCTTGGGGGAGCGTCCCAATAGTTGGGGGCGGGGGGCACCCACTGGCGCAGCACTTGATAGTTGCCCTCCAGCAGCGCCATGCCCTCGATGACCTCCTCGTCGGAGTCGCCGTCGTTATTGGGTCCGCTGGCGTCGTTGGCGTTGCTGCTGCCATTGTTGTTGCTGTTGCTGTTGCTGACTCGGCCATCGCTATCGGCATGCAAATTATCAAGCGAATTGTTCATTGTTTCGGCCGGAAAGCAAAAACCGGGGAAAAGCACTAGACTAAAATTTTGGCGCCGCTTTCACTGGCACTTCTCTTCTACGAGAGTCGCGGATTTTGCGGGCAAACAAAGATGCGCACTGCCATTTGCGCTGACTCACAGATACAAACACTGACACACTCTCACGGGCACACACACAAAGAACTATTCCTTCTCCGGGAGGAAGAAGCAGCAGCAAACAATAACAAAGGCGGCCGGCAGAAAGGCAAAGATTAAGTTTAACTCGAGTTCACATTCGCGGTCACATTCTGTTTTGCTGTTTTGCTGGCACAGATTCCGCGAATTAGCGATTATTTCCCCACTTCGATTCCGCTTAAAGGTATCTGCGTATCTGTTTCTGGCAACTGTGTTCCTTATCAATCGACGGAATAACGGGAATTTACGCGGAATCGCCGGTCGGAGCGCGTGGCCTCCGCTCGCGTTGCACTCACGGATGGTTCTTCCTTCTAATCGGCGAAATGCTCGTTGCGTTTGTTTTGGCACGACAGGATTGACAAGCACGGCGAAAACCCAAACACATCGCACAAAGGCTCACCAATACCGCGGCACTCTCACACACACACTCTGAAGACTCACACACACACACACCGGAGGGTTAATATCTGGCACTCGCTTTTGCATCCCTTGTCGGCGGAAGAGAACTCGCCCCGGGTTCTCCTTCGTCCTTGGTCCTGCGATTTCTCTGCTTCAGTTTCAGTTTCAGTTTGGGCCGTTCGCCTTGCGATTGCCGGCTTTTTCCTTCCTCTTTTTAGTGTGTGTGCAAAATAAGGGTTCGAAATGTAATGTTTTTATGTCTGATTTCGTTTTCCCAGATTGTGGTGGTGTCGGTGGGTCGCCTGGTCGGCTGGTCGGGGGGTGGTGCACGGAGGTGGGCGCCCGTTCGATGCACGCATATTGTTGAAATTATGTTGCCAAGAGGTGTGCAAGGGGGGTTGGGATGGTGTGGGACCAGGGGAAGGTGTGCAAGAGAGTGGGCTTAATGTTATAAAAACGCTTTTAAACAGTGGTACGAACATTTTTAGAAGATATCAGAGAAATGCCCGTGGAAGGTATTAAAAGTATTGGTAAAGGAACATAAAATTTTACGTTGAATATAGTAAGCTTTTATTCGCATTACTAAATGTACATAATTTACAGTAAAAAGAAAAAAAAAAACATGTTTAAACAACAAGAAATTAAGTAAAAAGTATTCAGAAGTTATTCAACAAAAAGTGTTAAATTTATAAGTAAATCTTTCGCCAACTCTGACTTTCTATTTCTTTAAAGACTAATCATACCAATCATAAAAGCAAATCGTATATTTTTTTGTAACCTATTATTTATATTTAAATATTTCCCGAACCACTGTGCTCAGTTGAAACTTATACCCATTAAAGTCTGGCGAGCACGATCCCCGTGACCTCTCACACACACTCTCGCCGAGACCCTTCGCCGCTCACACACACAAACGCACAGAAAGGAA